TGTTAATTTATAATACTTCTGGCGAATTTTGGCATTGAGTCATTTATTGATACATTTACGCTACATGCTCTGTTATTTTCGCGAATTTGTCAAGACAAGATACGTAATTCCTTTTTCGCTATCGTCGATCGGTTTCGAAGTATGGAGTCGTGTGATTCATTCATGAAATCTTGCGACATGCTCGCGCCACGTTACACGCTCGATTACATAAAGGCGTTCTGAACGAGTGCTTCGCATAGGTGCGTTCGCTCATGACGTTGCAACTATCAGTCTCGCTGTGTGGAGTAGTACTACCCACATTAGCAATGGTAGCGCACTGTAGTGCGACGATAGTAAGTGCGGTGCTGTATCAGTCTGTACGACGGTAGTGGGTACACAAGTAGGACAGCACTTTCCCTGAGTAGATTGCTCGACTCGTTTCTTAAGTGAAATCCGCTCTGACAAATTCGAGAATGATACAGAAATGCCACAAAAGAAGTGAATTTTTAATAATAATAAAAAAAAATATTAAGCCTGAAAGATGAAGAGAATTTAGATGAAATAGAAGAAAATTATTATTTGAAGATATTCATTTATATCAAATAATTTTATCAACGTTTAATTGTAATTTTTCAACTTTTAGAGAACTACATATATTACGACACTCGTGTAATCTTTTTAAATTGATCTTTTTTTCTAGTTTATCTAATTTTTTAGTTTATCCAATTTTCTGTCTATTTAAAATTAATGATAATTAAGATTAAATGTGAAATTCTTAAGGAAATAGATTTGTTTATATTTATTTTTATTATTATCTACACTTTTATATTCGAAGAAGATAGGATATATGAACAAATTAAGGAGACAGTTAATAAAGAGAAGATTTTTTACTGTGAATATACCCTTAAGATTCATTGTGAATGTGTATGTACACGCGCTGGCACGCGTGCTAGTAAGTAAACACGTATGTACGAGGCGAGAACGAGAATTGCTTTAAAGCTCGAACGGATTCGATGTAATCGACTCTTCGTTTCGTGGGAAAGAGTTACTTTTCCTTCCTACTGGCTGAACACAACTTCGCATGAGAAACTATTTTTATCGCTCAACCTGTGTGCTATTAACTACCTCCTTCCAAATCTTAATAAATGAATTGAGGAAAGCGAAACATCATATTATGCTAATATGAATTTAAACATACATATATTCTTTTTCGAGTTCCTCTGTACGATAAAATTAAAATTTTGAAATAATTTATAACTCCAATGATTCTTAAATTACATTAATTATATAATCTGCTTATAACAGAAAAAGTATAATTATTATAATAATTAAGATAATAGAAAAATTTAACAATTTTTTTGTGAGAACTTTGCGAGGCAACTTTGTTTTGCAAATCATTAAATAACATTTTTATAAATATTTTAATGAAATGACTATATTTTTTTGTGCAGCGTTTTTAAAAACAGCCTTATCGTGATTTCCAATCAGTTGGTTAATATTCACATAATCAATTTTTTCTATTCGAAGATAATAAGAAACACAATGCGTTCGCTTATACAATTGCGAATCCTACTAAAACGTTACGCGATATGAAGCAAAAGAATCGCTGCATGATAATGAGCTCTGAACACGAGTTATTATGAGTGTGAAACATTTTTATCTTGTACATTTAAATCGGGGCCTCATGACGTCATTTTTGGTGAGACTTTTTCATTGCACTTCTTTCGCAATACATTGATTAATTTCACTTCTCTAAATTGGAACAGCCGCCATCGATAAATGACTCTTGAATTTTTCTTGAACATTTATGCTCCCTCTTCCTCTTTTCTCTTTCTCTCTCTCTCTCTCTCTCTCTCTCTCTTTCTCTCTTTATCTTTCTTTTTGCTACGTTATTTGGATCTCGATCGCTAGACGTGCATAATGTATTAGCGCATGACAGGGTGATATCGGCGATGCGGACGATGGATGCAATTAAGCATGATCGATGACTCGAACGACCGAGTGGCCAAGCGGATCCAGAAGTGCTTAACTGCTCGGCGAGACGGCAATGTGTTGTTTCAAAACTGTTCGACAGACCGCTTCGATCGGCTCGAATTAAATCTGAGAAGTATAACGACGTCGTCGTTATTTTTTAGAATGCAATCTCGTTTGCCTCGAACAGAAAATAAATGATCTTTATTGGTAGAACGAATCCAAATTTCATCTTGTTGCCCATTCATTCCCAGGCTGCATTCAATATAATTATTACGTCAGACTGATAACTATTCAACCGAAAATAACATTACGCAAAAACGTTATGTAGAAGTTGTTTTTGAGACACGTTGAATGCATAATAAACAGTTTTAATAATATTTAGCGAATATTTTAGCAACTAGTAATTTGTGAACATTTTTACATTTTCTGCTTATGATTGCTTGAATTATTATTGGTAACAAATTAAAACTGAATATCTACAAATAAAATATAAATTTATATAATTAGATGGTTATTATAAAAAAATTATTTTGAATAACCTACGTTTAGGAAAATTGTTTCGTGATTGATTAAGAATTTTTGTGTACGTGCACTTTTTACACGTTTCTCACGCGAAGAATTAATTAACGTGTAATTTATCGGGCACCCGTCGTTGAGCAAAGTGAACGGCAATGACAACGCACGGCGCTCCAACGAACGAAGAGAACAGCTCGCGAGTTTACGTTCATTCATGGCTGTCGGCAACGCACACGTCGTCCAACAAAGCGAGATTATTTATAAAGCGAACGAATTCGATCCTGCCGCTTCTCGTAAACGAAGTTATTTTCGAAAGTGACTTCGGGGATCCTGTCGTAAGAAACGTATCGAAGTAAACCCCCCCTCTGATTCTCCCAAGCTTTTTCAAACTCTCTCGTGTCACTGTTAGAAATTTATTTTCGTAATCACGTGAAAAGAAATGTCGGCCAATGCCTCCTGCGAGCGGTCTCGAGCATCGACAGAGAAAGAGATCGTTACACCGACAATATTGTAAGTTTCTCTTTCGCATGAACGTAAATTTTACGATCTTGGTCTTGCCGCACTGTGTGCGTGAGTGAGTGTGTATGTGTGTGTCCCGAGGTTATCTCGTTTTCCTGACGACATATTAGGTTAAGTAAAAAGTCATCGCGTATTTTTTAGCTCAAAGTTGTATATACAATATCTTCGTCAATAATGAATGAAATTCAAATTTAAAAGTAGGGTTTTAAAGTTTGAAATCTCTACTTTTAAAAGCTTATCACATTTTTTAAGTTTATATGAGTTTGATAATTTTTACATACCAAAAACTACGAGCTGAAAAAGACGAAAAATTTTCTTCTCACTTTGTGGATTTGTAACGTGTCCAAAACAAATTTGAGAAAATTTTCGATTACCTATCGTGAAAGCTTGATACTTTCCCTACAAAATCGTTTTTTTTTAATATTCCTACGACTTTTGATTACTGAGTTATTGCGGATTAAATAAAAGAATTATTTTGACTTTAATTGCTCATAACTCCATTAAAAATTGTCGTATCGTATAATTTAAAAAAGAGATTTTTTAAAGCTGAAACTTTACTCTATTAACATATATTTATATTGTTGGTAAGAAAGTAATTGCGGTTTTTATTGATAGATGTCTTTTAAAAAAACGCGATGACTTTTTACTTAACCTAATATAATTTTTACAGCGATTGTAAATAAAGATATTTAGTATTTCTATCATATTTATATTTAGCTCCGCTTATTCGAATATTTATGAAATGTGGAGAACAAATGTTACACATAACGAACTGAAAGAATTTGGCGAATTAATATTTGCTAACTTGACATCTGTTTAAACACGAGAAATCATAATTGTACTTTTTTCACAATTTCTTTTCTCATCCTGCAGACATATTAAATTAAATTTAATTGCATTTTTGTTTAAATTATATATTTAATACTCCCATTATTCTTCTATGAAGTATATGACTGGCTTATTTATTTTAAATATCTACCAAAAAATTAATAATAAGATTGTAACTTTAATAGTATTATCAATCTTCGATTGTAGGCCAAAGAAAGCGAGCGAAGCGAAAGTGGTTACTGATACTGTATACGTCTCAAAAATTCAACATTGTTCACAGAAGGATGTCACATCTTCAGGAAATAAACCCAGTCGGAAAGAGGTGCTCGATGCGAAAAGAGCTCGATTGAGACAGCTTTTCAAATCTGACGCGATAGATTTGGACAATTCTTTTCGTGAACTAGGATACGCTTTCATTCCCACGCAACCTTGACATTTTTGTCGTGTTTCTTTCGGTTCTGCTTGCAACCTTGAAGTTTAATTAGTATTAAACGTCTACACTTTTACCGCTTTCGATTTAAATCGAGTTTGGCGCCGTCTTTCCAAATGTGTTGTCATAAAAATAGTCATTCGAACGTCTATAAAGAATTTTTCTACATTGATAAAGAGATATCGATAAAACATTAAATTACTCGCTCATGAGCAAACTAATAATTTTAATGATTTAAACGCAATGTCGATAATAATATAAAAATTGAAATTTCTGAATGTGTTTTAAATATTTTGTTTTGATTTAATTAAAAATTTTATTAATGGAACAATATTTTTATTTAGAAGGTTGATTATTATTGTTTCTATAAAATTTGTAATCAAATCATTTCGATTTATTTAATTCTGAAAGTTTAGTAATATTTTAATCTATAGATTTTATATTTATAAAGTTGATGTTTTTAAGATTTAACTTCTAAAATATGTAAATTAAAAAAATGTTTTCAAGTTTAATTTAAAATTTAATTAATGAATCTTAATTTTTAAGTAAAAATTAATGAGTTGTTAATTTTTATTAACACGAAAACGGTTCA